GCGCCCATGGCAGCAGCCAGGGCACTGGCAGCGGGCTGTGCCTTTAAGCCTGGCTGGTGTATTTTTAGAAAGCATAAATAGGCTGCATTCTCCCACTTGCTCACTATCCAAGACATAAAGGAAGGGCTTTCTGCTTTCTTCAAGTCTCCTTCCCCCGCTGGCACCATGGAAGTCTGTCTTTTAAGCAGTACAGGTCCACAGCTCCTTTTTTTTTTTGCCTTTTTTTTTTTTATTGAGAAGCTGCAGAACTCTAACCGGTGGTTCAATAAATTGTATTACATCCCCTTCGTACTGAATGCCCTACAAGCTTTGGCTTTCCATGTGTAATTGCAAGCTGTTATTAGCCCAGAGCTTTGTCCGTTACTGTGCCACACTATTGCTGAGCGGTCAATTTTTTTCCCCTGCCATTTCCTTTGCTCACACCATGCTGACCACGTTGGCCAGGGGCTGCCCGAGGTTTATAGTGCAGCATTGATTTTTCTTTTCTCTCAATACTGACAGAATCATAGATCCAAGGCAAATAAAGAAATGCATTCTGTGGTGATGAAATGTCTTTCGTTCAGCCTGGATTGAATCAAAGGCCATCACAGAAATGTTCTACTCTAAAATGCTAGTGAAGCTTAAGGCATTGTTGGAAAATGAATTTTCCATTTTCTTAGCTGTAATTTGGATTCTCAAATCACTGTGCTAAAAATAATCAGATAAAATTGAATATAGACTACAAGCCTATGTAAAATGTTATTTGTTAGGTTTTTGCAAGCTGCTGCAGCTGATATGAATCTGGCAATAGATCAGAAAAGTAATTGCTTAGGTGGGTTTCTAGTAAGTATGTTGCATTACTCTGAATACCAAGGTATAAGAAGCCTGCTCTATAATTCATACAAAGTATGGTAAACAACCAAACCATAAAGATACATCTTGCATACATACTGGAGGGAGAAATTTCTAGCAAAACGAAAGTTATCACCTTCTGTCACCTACATCTCAATGATGAGTATTTTTACTTTAATTTGGGGATGTGAAAGGACTTTTTTAGGTGGGCGAGTGTCATTGTCTCCATTAAACAGATAGAGAAATAAAAGCAAAAAGGGCCTATGGGGGCAGAATAAAGTCCCACAGTGAATCTCTGGTGGGGCCTGGAAGAGAACTTCAATCCTCAGAAGCTTAATACCATTTTGAATGCAAAATAAAAATAGCCATGACTTTAATTCTATGTATGTACGGGAACCGGTCACTCAGTATGATACTCTCACCAGCACAGGCTGTTAGAGACAAGAGCAGCCCCAGTCTGCCCAGTTGGCTGTCCTGGCACTTCAGCTGTCCATGGAGAGGAAGCACCTTTAGTAATTTTTAGGCAAATGTCATTTCTCATTGCACAAAGCCAGCTTAGTAACTCTCTTCCTCTTTTCTGTATTATCAAGACTCAAGACTTAATATCTGGTGTATGCAGCCATTAGAGATTCAACCCAACTCACCATCAAGGGTGACAATACTTTCTTCCTTGAAAGCAAACATGTAAATTGTCCAGAAAGACTGACCAGAGGATATTTGTGTCCTCCCCCTCACAGAACATGGTGCAGTTTCTTCTGTAGCCCTGCAAAGGTAAAACCCCAACTTCCAGAGGCTCCTAGGTTGAATGTCAGCTTGTCTAGCACTCCAAAATGTTCTCTGACTCCACACCTCGGGGAGATCCCGTGTATTTTAGTGAGAAGCTAGGTTTATAAAAAAGGGGGAAAAAAAACAAAAAAGAGGGGAGGCAAAGGTACCAGAGGACAGAAAGAGCAGGGTGTTTATAAATGAAATTAACAGATGGAATTGGCAAAGTTAAAACTACAAATTGGAAAACTAAATATATTTGAATGTAGCCCCTGGGCAACACTGCATTAATTCCCTGGCTTTGGACCTTCCTTTTTCTCCTTTCTTAATGACTACACGTCTGACATCAATACGCACTGTTTACAGCTGTTTCTTCAGGATCACATTCCCAGCAACATACAATAGGTCTTTACATTGCATAACGTCAGATTATTTTTCACCACTGATGATCCCAAAAAACATTCACAAAAAAGAAACCAACCTTTTGGAATCCAATTTAGTGTCTTATCCAACCTGAAATGTTTTTGACCACTGAGAAACTAAGTAAGTTAAAATAGAAAATCTGTCAAATCCTAACATCCTTCCTCCATCCCAAATTGTGAAAGAGTTTTCCCTACAAAATTTCCCAGAAATTTCCAGTGTAACCGAATCTATGTTACTCATTGTAAAAGCCTTTGTTGTATGAAAGGCTATGTGGCTTATGCCTGTAATTTTGAAGGACACTCCACAGTGGAAACAAAATCAGCGTTCCCTCCCATTTGTCTTCCCAATTTGATTCTCCCCTAAGGTTCAGAAACACTTGAGAAACCCATTACTTTATTTTCCTCCCACTTTGTCCCACTAGAGCCTTGTGGGGTTCAGCAAGATGTAAAACTATAGTCTGCAAGTTGACCTGAAATCAGTTGCAAATTGGATCAAATCCTGAAGCGTGTAGATCTATCTAATGATCCTCTATATTGGACCTGGAATGATTTTCATGTCTTGCACTTGCTATGGATATCATTATACAGTTATCATAACTGTTCCCATTCTTGGAACAATTAACTTGATCTTTTGCTTGCTGGCTCTCTGATGCAGATCAAGGATAGACCTCAGCAGTAACCAAAAAGAGACAGTGCTATTTAGTGCATTGAAAGCTTCAAAATTCACTTGCCAGGATTCTTGACAGCAGCAAATTTGGGCTGAGATTTAAAGTCAAATTCAGGGCTTGTATTTGGCCAATATCCCTGTTAGGAGTTGGACCAAATAACGAGTGAAGGTTTCCAAGTGCTAGTAAACAGTACACCAAGGTTGGAGAGTCACATTGAGCAAAGGTACTGTGGGTACAGTTGTACAAGGCAGGGACAAAATGAAGATGCGTGTAAAATTAGGAACTCGGCTGCCCTTCTGCCACTATCTATCACTTTATGGGTTTGCAACATCACTTATGGCTAAATTCCAGCCACTGCTTTGTACAGGCTATAGTCAGAAATCTCCACTCTAAATCCTAGAAAGGGGAAAGCGAGGAGAATCTACAAACAGGATTAGTGTCAGGGAATGTAAGCGTGATGAATACTTCCACATATTACCAAATTGTATATAATAGCCTAAGTATGTAGGAAATCACTGTGGGGGGAAAAAGCTGTTAATTGGATCATATATGAAATGTGATGTTTTCTTAATGTCTCAGCTGGTGAATAAGTGCTTGTTGACTGGTGCGTGATCTCTGTTTTTTGTTAAATGCTCCTACTAGCAAGCAGCCATAATTTATTTTTAAGGGGGATGAAATAGATCAGCTATGCTTGCAGTCCCTAAAGGATGTCTTTTCTCTGATACACTGGGTTCACAGCTTTAAGTGTAACAAGCAAAAATGGTTGAACAGGCAAAAAGCAAAGGAAACTAGAGTGGCATCAAAATGCAGAGCAGCTCCATTGTAACCCGCAGTTCAGCAGAGAAGCATCATTCTGCTCTCCATCTTCTGCTAAGCAAGGAGCAGCTTTTGGTTTAAAATAAAAAGGCAAAAAGAAGTTAAAATGTGTGGTAGTAAGAAAATAACATTAGTAATAGTAATAATAGTTGTGAAAATAGTGGTGATCTTATAGGCCCTGTCAGCTTCGGATGGTCTGAGGGCCAAGCATGTGACTGGGTATGCAGCACAGTGCTGCAGTGAAGTGAGGGCTCAGCTTGACCATAGAGTTCACATCACTGGTTAAAGATGTCTGACTGCAGACTCAGTTTTGAGATCCATTCTCTGAAATCCTGTAGAGCAAATGCAGTCAGGTCCCAGCTGTTTCCCAAGGCTGTGGGCCATGCTGCTCACCAGGCACGGGACGCTCGGTTGGGTTTCGCCCTGCTCTGTCACAGTCCTTTTTACTGGCATCTGCCTTAGGTGATTTGATGATTCTCTGCCAATTTGGCCTGCAAGAACAACGTCAGCAGCAGAAAGTCTTTATGTGTATGGGGAGCTGGAAAGTTGTTTGGTTTGTGATGCACTTTCTCTGGGGAAGAATATGTGTATATAAAGCCCAGCTCCCCTTTGAGGAGCTCATTTTCCTCACCCCATTGAATGTCATCTTTCAGCAAAAGATCAACAAGGACTCCTTGGTGTTTAGTAGTCATCCTCCTACAAATACTGAACCAGCCTCGGAGAACTGATGCTTCTCTTTGTCAAAGGTCCTCTGCAAAGATACCCAGCGCCTTCAGCCCCTCCTGGGTTGAAGTATCCCTTAGCACCTTGCCCAGCCCTATAGGTGCATGCCTCTAAACAGCTGCCAGTACACATGAATTTGCATAAAGCATAGAGAAAACTAGCAAAATTATGATGTTCATTGGGATGTTCTGTCTAAATCGAGACTTTTAAGCACTAATAATAATTAACTACTTTCTTAGCAACGAAAAAGTCTTAAATGCCTATTTACTTAACAGTCCCCTAGGGTGTCTTTGTTCTGAATGGGCTAAAAAATCTTAGCTGCAAAATAAGCAGGCAATTCCAATCAATAGAGCCAGAGGACTATATTGATTACCAGAACTCCATTCTTTAGTCATTAACCCTGTGAATTCTTTACAAAAGCTGTACAGGACAATTCCTAACCACTATACCGTTTGAGGAGTCATTCAGATATTTGAATGGCATTAAACTTTCATAGCTTGTTTACAGCCCCTTCAGCCTTGCCTGAAGGATTGTGCTCCGAGACTCCCTGCCACAGCCACACTCTGCCCAGCTAAACTGACAAACAGCATTAATCAAGTCTGGAAATTTTCTCTGCAGATATGTTTTTCTTGTTGTTTGTTGCTAATATTGTTACAGACCAGGGAGGCAGATCACAGAAGGAGTGAAATAATAATCTTAGTTTTCCCACATTTCAGCTCCCAGCCAGAATACTCTAGCTATATTCTGATACACCTTAAATACACCTTTTACTCACCCTTGCATGGAAAACCACCCGTGCACCCTGTAGGTCCCTACCTCCATACCAAACGCCACAGGGGTCTATGTGGACAGCAGGGGAATGACACGAAGTGGGGCAGTGGGAAGGGAAGGTACAGTGAGATGGGAGGGGGAAAAGGAGGAAGTGATGCTGGGATTGCTCATCAGGTCTCTCCACCTCCTTCCCCTCTGCTGGGTCTTGTGGGACCTGACCCCATGACACCTGCCTCTCAGCAGCACCGTATTTAAGAGAAGATTCTCGCATTTCAGATTAAGAAAGTTCATGACACACAGTAATGGCTCTAAATGGTAAATTGAATCACACAGACAACAATTGAATAGAAGCGGCACAAATGAGCCAAATGCCAGCAATTTAAGGGGATGCTGAAGGAAGTCCCAGCAATCACAGATCCACTGCGAGGACAGGCACTCTTCCTCTTCAAAGTTCAGGTGGCTTTATGGTATAGAACTTATAATGTTCTATTACGTAGTGCTGCTTTGCTATGGAAACTTAAGCTGACCAGCATCTTTGCAAAGACACAAGATGGGAAGGGTTATTTCTAAATATTTCTGTAACGTTTATAGAAATTTCAGCCACAGCTTGTCCCTGGGTTGCTTGCACCAACTGTTCTTGTATTGGTTATGGCTTTGACCCAATGCCCAGTGGGTATGGGGTTTTGGCTTAGGCTGCATTTGTGCCGGTTACACAACACAAACATGGTATTGTTCTTGCTTCTCACTGTACAATGAACATTTTAGCCACCACGTAGCAGATGAACACCAAGCAGTCATTTGATCTGAAACTTGAGGATATTCTGAAGTTAAGGAACAGCTTGAGAAATACACAAGAATCTGCCTAAGCATTTGTAAACAGGGAATATAATTTCAGGGTCATAACTGAGCAATATTCCTACATTTAGTCACAAAACTGCCCTGCATCTTGTTTTTACAATTAGTCCTTGATCCAGTCTAGTTTCAGTGTTCTGCTGTTATTCTTATCTATTTGACACCCTCACCCCCCAAGAGAGCTATAATGAGCCAGGGCCATTTTCATGACTATTGATTTCATGGCTAAAATTATAGTATTTGATTGCTATTTGACCAAACTGAGATTATTGCATGTTTTGAAAACAAGAGCAGCAACAGCAGAAGTCGTGTCTGTAGAAAAGCACAAAGTTAGGAGCAGCAAAACAGCACCTCATCTCCTTTGATCCTGCAGTGCTGTGGGAATGCCCTCCTCAGTGCTGCTGCTTTATAGACAGCAAACAGAAGGCTCACAGAGCTTCAGTGACCTTTCCAATATCACCTCGTGCATCCTGGCAAGGCATGGGATAGATCTCAAGCCTCCTTCCTCCCAGCCAGTGCCCTCACCGTCAACACACATTTTCCTGCATGGTCAATGCTCATACCTGCTTGCAGTGCTGCTTGTAGTCAGTGGGCACATTTCATGGTGAAGAATCAGGTCTGAAAGGCCTGAATCTCATTATAAATCATAGTAAATAAATAAGCACTGGACAACCGTTTATAAAGTTTATTTTTCACTGTCACAATGCATTTAGAAAATGTTGCTAATCCCAAAGACTTTCTGCAGGCTCCAGTTCCTGTTTTCAACAGACAAAACTGATCACAATTAGTAATGGATTTCAGATAAATACAGAAATGTTTTAAGCAAGTTCCTAAATGTGATAAGAACTCCAAATACGTTTCTGAATAGTGTGTTTCAAAGGATTACTAGGACTAAATGGCCCTGGTGCTTCATGTGGACAGAACCACCATTTCTTTGCACTTTGCTTAATTTTTTTCAGTACGAGACCTTTCTATATTCTATGACACTAAGGGCAGATCTCGCCATCCTTTCTTTCCTGATCAGAATGGCAGAATTGTTGATTTTCAGGTTGTGCTGACATTTTGAGCTGTGTGAAATTCAATAAGGCTACAAGTATTTCCTAGCAAAACCATGGACACAATCAGGGACTGGTAAAGGAGTGAAGCAGGAGGTCCCTCCCCAGCAGGCAGGAGCTACCTGAGCTTTGCTCTATAACTCCATGTGAAATGGGGCAAGTATAGGTGCAACTGCCATATTTTTGCCTTTTTCTATCAATGTCGTAGAAATAGTCACTAGTTTAAGTGATGTGAATTTAAGTGAATTTAAACAGCTTGGCTCCAGTAGCCGCTGCTGCTGCCTGCATCTTCAGAGCAAGAGCATTTTGACATCCCATTTTCTTCAAATGGGTCACAGGTCAGAGGGCAGCAAGACACCTTTCCCCAGCTGCCAGTGCTATTCTTCCGTAATAAATTAGAACACCCCTGTCCCCAGAGAAACGTGTGGGAGCCATGTTTGTGCCTATGTGGTAGGATGGCTTGGCTCTGCCCTTGCAGGGCTCCTGTAAAGCTGTTCAACGTGGGAGCGATCCCCATGCTCAGGGCTCTCCTGAGCATCACCGTGCCGAGCCCGACCTCCCATTCGTGGTCCCCAGCCAGGGCTGAGCTTCCAGAACACATGAGACAGCCCTGAGAAACACATACAGCTAAAACTGCTCACCAGTAAATACACCCTGCTGCATTCAGAGGCTCCTCCAGCTCAGATTAATGTGCCTTGGGGAGGAGTGCAGTATCCTAGAGGACACAGGGGAGAGCAGATGGAGGTGATAGAGACCTCCTGCACCCAATCAAGGAGGGAGGGGGGTGCTCCTCACCCACTCTGAGAAACATGTTCCTCTACATTTAGCAGAGGAGAGTTGGCTGCTTCCCTGCCCTCTGCTGCCCTTTTACTTAAAAGTCTGACTCCTGGGAATCAGTTTTGAAGTGAGGCTACAGGCAAACCCCGATCATGCATGCTGGTGCTGTAGCCATGCAGAGCTGGGGAGAGTACAGAGCTTTTGACATACAAAGCTGTTGTACAGGTGGTCCCCTTGCAGCTCATGGGCAGAAATGTTCATGATGCTTTAGTTAGGAGAGCAGGAGGAACATGTGATTGGTGCTGTGTATGCAGCTCAGCAATTCACTGTGGTGCTCAGTGCTCCCTGTGCATCACCTACCCACAAAACATGGATGCCAGCAACCCAAGAAAATATTCCCCTCCAGAAGTGCCATGTGCTGCTGCTTTCATGTCTGAAAAAGCTAGGCCATTTAGCAACAGGTCTCTGCCTACAGACCCTGAGAGATGCTGGTACTGCCATCCTGTTGTGCTTAAGAGCCACAGGCAGAGATGCTTCTGCAGCAGAAATAGGTGCTTAGAGCCTTGTTGCTCTGATTACATCTACTCCACATAAAGCACAGTAACCTAACTGAAGCCAGCAGTCACCCCAGTGTAAAATGGGATCGTGGAAGATCAGAAGCTGGGTTGTAATCCTCTCATTGCCCCAAAGTGAATTTTCCTCTTGGCAGCAGGGCTTAACAATAAATGTTGAATCCTGGCTCATACACAGCTTAGGAGCACGAGCAGCCTTGCAAGGGCTGTGCAGCAGCCATCCCTGGGGCCACGGAGGGAGCAGGAGACCTTAGGAGGGCTTCCCCATGTGTCCCAGCTGTGAGGGGCTCACAGGAGCAGCCTCTGCAGTCATAACTGCTGCCAGTGATGACATTTCAGAAGGTTTTGCCTTGTCAAGGTGTCACAAATGTCGTCCTCAATGCTTGTTGCTGAAGCTCCTGGTGGTGGCTGCACTGAAGGGAGCAGGAGTCAGGTGTTTCCCCTGGAAGGGGTGGCTCTGTGTCATGTTTCTGCATCACTGTCACACATATATCTGATAATATTTACTTACTGTTTGAAAGGAAAATAGCTTTCTAAAGCCATTATTTCTTTCACTTGTCTGCTGTCATAAAGGTCTTTGTGATGGAATGATACAGGATTCATGCACAGAAATGGACAGATACCATCTCTGGGTAGGGCAATGTAAGATCCCTGTATCTATCAGTTACAGTGACACCTTTTGTATATGTAAAGGTAAAAAATACCAACTAAAAGTAAATAGGTAAGATGAGCACTCATATATGCAGGACTTGAAAACTAGATTTTTGCTAAAAGTTGGTTTGGTTTTGATTTTTTTTTCCTAAGGAGACATTTTATCCTATCTCATCCCATCTCATCTTTTCCTTTATTCCTTTCTGTCTCGTTTGAGACCTAGCCTCAACATAGTACAGTCTGTTTATCATTAGTAAGATGTAGTGTATATTAAAGCAGCAATAACAGTAAGTCATTTAGAGTGTATATCACAGGTTACAGAGAGCATAGGAACGCTATTTTATTATGCTACAGCTGTAAAGCTTATACTAATACAAAATATTGCTGGCAGTCACCTTGTTTTATTCTTCTTTTAACAACTTACTAACAGTGTGTAAATATAAAAGCAAACTTTGATTTTTCCATCCGGATACACTGAAAACTCTTCCAATAAAAATGCTAGGGTGCATTTAACACTGTGACCAGAAATATTGAAATTTGACAGTTAGGAGGTTAAAGGTTTCAAATTTATACACAGAGGTGTTTTGCTCCTGTCATGGTCATAGCAGCCTGCTCAGGATAACCCCTTTTGCTTACTGAACCTTTGAAAAGCAGAAAACGTTAAGCAATACCTCTTGGCAGATGCCCTGGGATTTCACACCACCAGCAGAAGCCCATATGCACACAAAAAAGTGAACCTCTTAGGTGAAAACTGGTCAAGCCTTTCTGTGTGCTGCTGCTCCATGTGCTGGAAGCAACTGTCTTGCACTGCTGCCGCCACCCTTTCCACTAGAATTAAGGCAGTTTCTGTAATATTTTTCAGCTATGAAGTGCTACAGCTTTTAATTTCCACGTAGATGGCTCGAAAAGGTGGCATCAAGAGAACACCCGCAGAAACCAATACTGTGAGGAAATGGCATCAAATAAACAGGTATTTTCGGTTCCTGCTATGAAATACATACATAAACCAAAATAAAATTAAATTAAATGTACTTTGCACCCAAGATATAATTGTTTTAGATTTCTTCTAGTCTTTATTTTAGGAATTTCAGCCCATGGTATTTAGGTGTAGTACAGCATTTGCCTCTTTGCCACCATCTAAGAGAATACATGCAGCTGAGAACAGACAAGGCGCCACAGTGCTTCCAGCTTCTATTAAATCA